TGTACCACAAACACAGGCCGCGCGAACAATGGCCGGGCTAACAAAAGCCGGGCGAACAAAGACCGGGCGATCGAGTGGACGATGAGCACGTCCGCACGTGACGGGTGCCTCTATCGGAATGTTGTTTGTTTCGAATAGGCTCCGAAACTACTGGACCGATTTGAAAAATTATTTTTCCATTAGAAGCCGACATTGTCCCTGATGAACATAGGCTACTTTTTTTTCATTTTTTTTTATTTTATTTTTTTGGTTTCTTGTGTGTTTTAATGTTTCCGAAGCGAAGCGAGGGCGGGTCGCTAGTGTCTAAATAAGTTCGTGGGTAGGTAGATATGTTTGATGCGAGCGTGTGGCATATGATGCCGACAGACACCAACATGCCACTGAAACAATACCCTTGACATTCATTATTTAAACTTGAAAAAATATCATTATATTATTTCACCTCATTCGTATTAATGGATTGCGTAATTTTTAACACGTATGTAAAACTAATATCGGTCAAAAAAAATTTCTGGTCTTTACTGGTGGTGGTAGGACCTTTTGTGAGTCTGCACGGGTAGGTACCACCGCCCTGCCTATTTCTGCCATGAAGCAATAATGCGTTTGGGTTTGAAGCGTGGGGCAGCCGTTTTAACTTTACTGAGATTTTAGAACTTATATCTCAAGGTCGGTGGCGCATTTACGTTGTAGCTGTCCATTGCCTCCAGTAACCACTTAACACCAGGTGGGCTGTGAGCTCGTCCACCCATTTAAGCAATAAAAAAAGCCTTTTAAATTATAATTGAGAATTACAGATTACATTTGGATTCTTAATGTAGAAGACGAAGAATTGAATTCACAAGTTAATTATCACACGTAACACATTTGTAAGGATTCTCTAGTTCGTTTACGTACTAAAAACTATAATTTATTCATTGTCTGAGTGATCGTAAATTTTATGTAGCGACTAGTTAAAAAAATCTTCTTAATCTAAAATCGTTCTTTAATCTGTTGAAGTTGCAGGCGAAATTGTTTACTTGCAAACGATCAACAGGAGAACAGAAGAGAAGTATAAAAGTATGTCGGACGCAAAATGCATAAATGGGCTCGGATATCTCCGGGGAAGAGAATTCTATTCAAACGATCCCTCGGACCTTGCGTTTGATGTTTGACACTTGAAAGCGGCACAGAACAATATGGCAACGAATGGCATCCCCACAAATCAGGGTGAACACCCTTGAACAATTACGACGGCGAACGCGACTCGGCTAATGGCCGGGATTGCGTTACGCGAAAGTAAAATTGAACCAAGCATACGAATGCTAGGGATGTGAATGTACTTTGGTATTTTTTTTATTAGGAATTTATATTACATTTGTATTCGTATTTTGTTTGCTGCTGTCCTTAATATACTGTATATTTTTCGTGTNAATCAGGGTGAACACCCTTGAACAATTACGACGGCGAACGCGACTCGGCTAATGGCCGGGATTGCGTTACGCGAAAGTAAAATTGAACCAAGCATACGAATGCTAGGGATGTGAATGTACTTTGGTATTTTTTTTATTAGGAATTTATATTACATTTGTATTCGTATTTTGTTTGCTGCTGTCCTTAATATACTGTATATTTTTCGTGTCATTTATGATACGTCTATAATAACTACAAAAAATACGTACTATAAAAGAAATATGTCTAATTTAAATCGAAATTGTTTTCTTGAAGATAACTTTTTTGCCATACCTAACCGATGATAGCCTAAGGAGCTATTTCAGCTAGCTAGCTAGCTCGGACGGGCAGGTGAGTTTACGGGCTCAACCTGAGAGAATTTGGTAACTCTAGCGCTTAGCAAGAGCAATGCTTTACTGAATCTACCTACACTGGATTGGAATCATGACCCACTGAGAAGATACGGCGAGAAACTTTTTTTTTTTTTTTTTTTATTGCTTAGTTGGGTGGACGAGCTCACAGCCCACCTGATGTTAAGTGGTTACTGGAGCCCATAGACATCAACAACGTAAATGCGCCACCCACCTTGAGATATAAGTTGTAAGGTCTCAGTATAGTTACAGCGGCTGCCCCACCCTTCAAACCGAAACGCATTACTGCTTCACGGCAGAAATAGGCAGGGCGGTGGTACCTACCCGTGCGGACTCACAACAGGTCCTACCACCAGTAAAACTCAGTGGGTTGTGTCTATGGGCTAGGTTACGATTACAGTGACGATAGTAAATGGAGAGGAATCGATAAGAAATGTTTATGGTGGGAATGTAATAATATGTATTTAATAAAGCAGCCACGGTAACAGGGTTATCGTGCCGCACCGCTTTTTCGAAGAATCAAACAGTTCAGTGGACATGAAAATATTCAAACAGTTTATCAAGCAGTTATAGTTCTCGGGCAATCCTATGCCTCCGCAATCGAATTCCGATTAGGACCGATACTTTGGGGGAATGTCGAACTGCCAGCAATAACTAACAAACAAGTTTCCTAGATAAAACACAGCCCTAAGACCAATTTGTGGGAAACAAACATTCCTATTCGGTTATGACAGGACTCGTGACAATTCATGGCACGTTATTTACTGGCCACGGAGAGGGACTGCGGGTATTTGTCGGTCGGATTACTCTCCGTCTGGTAATGGGACGTGCGACACTAAGGGATTACAATCAATTTACATCGTGGTTGCGATTCCAACGGGGCCATTGAGCGAACGTGAGGATTAAGGCTAATTGTTTCGGATTACTGAGGGAAATCGCGTTCGGGAATCCGAAGCTTTATTGCTAATTCTTGTTATTATGTGGACAGAATACCGTTTTGCATTACGTAATAAAATCCTATTAGTCTTTTTTTAAAGTCTTTTAATTGATAGTATAGATATAGATATAGTTCAGTTGAATCTCAATTTTTATTCTATAAAAACAGTACATGTTAAACCATTTAAAATACTCCCTCGCTGGAAAAAAAAATCAAGAAAATGCACCGACTTCATTATTTTTAACAAAAAAAAAGGCAATTGTCAAGAAATAGGGGGAACACAATAAGCTAACCCTTGGCGCCGACGCAAGTACGAACAATCTTTTGAATTTGATTCGAAATTCATTGAAATAGCCTTCTGAGCTTCCCTTGTATAACAGCCCTTTATAGGTCCTAAACATTCGCCTGTGAACTTTTTAACATATTTTAAAGATATAACAAAGGAACTAAAGCGATCAATAATTCTTACATTTCAATCGAGTAATATTAAAAGAGTAGTATCGGAAAAACTAGTTAAGCTATGTTTTGATAATGTTTTTAGGAATTTCAGATATTTCATTTCATTTGGCTTATAAGGCAACGGGGGAAAGCATTATTTCAAACAGCCAAAGTTTGTCTTGGTAATGACTTTGAATTTTGATTGATTTCCATCCAAATAGATGATTTTATTTATTTATGTACACACAAAAAAGAAGACATAGTACAGAGTAAGTAGTCCAGCAGACCTGCGAGAGGATTATGAGAATAATAATTAAAAGTGATTTTATACAGAGCGCGGATTATTCTTAAGCAAGAAATGCGATAATGATACTTGAGTCAACTTATTAGCTTGAGGAAGATATAAATGGCAAGGTGCGGCTTCTTAATGGCTATGTCGGGTGGAACAACTACACCTCAAACATACTAACTATTCTACAGACGGATGTGTTTATAATCCATTAACGTGAATGCACTATCCGCGGCCTTACCCCGGAAAGAATGGTACAAAAAGGCATAATTTTATTTGATTGCGCCTACGATACTTTGTATTATGAAATTGTTCAAGTGATTATTGATTTATTATTCTCGCCCTGAACTTTATCATCGTATTTAAAATATCAATAAAATCAGGTGAAGTCGGTAGGTTATCAGCAAAGAAAACACTGCTGTCAAATTCTCATCACCAATGTCAACATGTGCGTCAAAAATATGTGCATTATATTTGTGCTATTTCATTTTTACTCAAACACGTCGTCTCCATAAATCGTTTCGTTCAGTTTTAGGTCAGTTTTAGATCTTTTTGTGTGTGTGTGTGTGTGTGTTTTTTTATTGCTTAGATGGGTAGACGTGCTCACAGTCCACCTGGTGTTAAGTGGTCACTGGAGCCTATAGACATCTACAACGTAAATGCGCTACCCACCTTGAGATATAAGTTGAGGTCTTGAGGTCTCAGTATAGTTACAACGGCTGCCCTACCCTTCAAACCGAAACGCATTTCTGCTTCACGGTGGAAATAGGTCCTACCACCAGTAAAAATTAAGTATTTAAAATGAAAATTGATTAACAGCCTGTGTTGTCTTCTAAGCAGTCGTATATTTATTTATTAAGTTGCACCAACAAAGTGATCATCAATACAAAACATTGACAAATTGATAAAAGTTCACGGCAGATGTCACCCTTAATTATAGGTGCAATCGACAGTGCATTAACAACAAAAATAAAAAAGATTATATAACTAAGATTACTAGTGGTTCCGCAGTAGTCGAAATTCGACTAATTAATTGAAATTATAAGTTTGAACATTATTATGGTTACATTGTCAAAGACTATACTTCTATAATCAAAAATTCGCCAAGACTACACTATAGACAAATAATATTAAAATTAAACAATATTAACCTATTTTCAATTTGACCACAGACTTTAAGCATTAACTAAAGTTTGACAATGAAAAAAAAGTATATATACATATGTGTGTGTGTCTAATACGTGGCAGTGTGTGTAATGTTTTCTTTATTGATTTAATATATCTTTTACCCATTATTTAAAAAAAAAATTAGCATTGTGCACTCCTTCTGTATATTCTCTATAAGTGTGGGAAATTTCATACTCCTCCGTCCGCAAAATTTTCGTAAAAAGGGGTACAAAGTTTTTGCTTCACGCATTAATATATAGATAGTATAAAACACATATACTCTATAATATAGATATATATAATATAGAGTCTATATCATACTCTATATCATCTATAGAGTATGATATAGAGTATAGGTGTTTTGTGTTACCTTGTAGCACGTAAGCGGAGCGCTGTGGCAGCGTGCCCGGAGCGAGGGTGACGCCAGCATGTGACGTATTGTGCAGCGATAATGCACCCAGCAAGTCTAGCTCGGTGGCTGAAACAATATACAACACACGTTAAATAACTACTTTATAACATTAGTAGCTGGCCTGGTAAACGTTGTTTTGCCATTTAAATTATTTCTAGGAAAGATATAATAAATAACCTAGGTGCCGACTGCAGCGCCCTCTGCTCGGTTGATTTGTGAATCTAAACCATCCAAGGTGCCACCCAAACCCGTACAAAAAAAATCATTCAAATCGGTCCAGCCGTTTAGGAGTTCAGTGTAAAATACACGCACAGAAGAAATATATATATATATAGGTATATACATACTAGCTCTTGACCGCGACTTCGTCCGCGTGGAATAGTTCACAAATAATGCTTTATTTTAGAACAAATTTGGTTAACATAAAAAACGTTATAGTGAACCAACCTTAACACATAGACATATGCAATCGCGGACTTTTTTAGATCTTTTAAAGGGGAACAATTCTGTCATACATTATTTAAACGAAGCTTCAATCGTTTCTGCAGCGCACGCAGCGGAAGCTCTCAAAAGGGAAAAAACCCCGATTTTGAAACATTCTTTATTAGTGCTCCTCTCTTATCTTAGCGTGATGTTATAGCCTACAAACCTTCCTCAATAAATGGGCTATCTAACACTGAAAGGATTTTTCAAATCGGACCAGTAGTTCCTGAGACTAGCGCGTCCAAACAAACAAACTCTTCAGCTTTATAATATAATTATAAACAATAATAATAATATAATAATAAATAATATAGTATAGATTTTTCACTGGTGGTAGGACCTCTTGGGAGTCCGCACGGGTAGGTACCACCACCCCGCCTATTTCCGCCGTGAAGCAGTAATGCGTTTCGGTTCGAAGGGTGGGGTAGGCGTTGTAACTATACTGAGACCTTAGAACTCATATCTCAGGGTGGGCTGTGAGCTCGTCCATCGATATAAGCAAAAAAAAAAAATTACTAGCTGGCCCGGAAAATGTTGTTTTGCCATATAAATTATTATTTCTGGGAAAGATAAGTAACCTCGATACGATCTGCAGCGCCATCGGCCGGGCTTACTTGTGAATCTAAACTATCCAGTGTGCCACCTAAACGCGTACAAAAAAAATCATTTAAATCGGTCCAGCCGCTTAGGAAGAGTACAATGACAAACACACGCACAGAAGAAATGTATATACATATTTATAAAGCAACATGGCTTTGCATAATAAATATGTATATCTTGGCAGCATCGCGCAGTCAGCCTGCTAAACGAAATATTGGAAATTTTACAAGATAACCATCTGTAGTGGACTGTATGATTAGGATGGGCAAGGAACTTGATAAATAAACTCGCGAGGATAGCACGTATAAAATTTGTATATTTTTTAAATTTTATAAATCGCGTACAATAGCACGGAAAAAGAGAATGACAAAACTAAGACATTCCAAAATTCAAAACTCAAATGTAATGTCAGAAACCACAACCACAACAATAAAAAAGGTTTTATACCAATTTGTTGGGTTTCCAACACCATCAACGCGTCTCAAGATGCGTAGCGGCATTCATGTTCTCATGTGGCTTCCAGTAACCACTTAAGACCAGATGAGCCACAGCTGATTCACCCGTAATAAAAACAATATTCCGGTCAGGATATACATATGATGTGGTTTGGCTCGGCTTGCCTTGCCTTGGTTTATTCCAATTCGCAAATCTGAACCAATAATTGAAATTAAATTCGTAGCATAGTTCCCAGCTACAGCGCTATCAAACAAGGCATTAACTTAATTCGCATGCTCATTCTGTTTATGCAGTAGTTGGCTGTTTGCCGGGAATAAGCAAATGCGGGTATTTCAGTTTCGGCGGTTCAAGGACATTATGTCATAAAGTAGGTTGAACATCGCTAATGCATTCATTCGGATTTATTTTGTGTTTCTCTGACGGCAAAGATACGCTTCTATGGAGAAGGCTTCTTTAGCCCTTCGATTCATCTATGTTATTAAATAGTTTTTGTAAATTAATTAAAAATAACAATAAAATTATAGATTTTTTTTTATTTTTCAGATGGATAGACGAGCTCACAGCCCACCTGGTGTTAAGTGGTTACTGGATCTCATAGACAGCTACAACGTAAATGCGCCACCCACCTTGAGATATAAGTTCTAAGGTCTCAGTATAGTTACAACGGCTACCCCACCCTTCAAACCGAAACGCATTACTGCTTCACGGCAGAAATAAGCGGGGTGGTGGTACCTATTTATGAGTCGTGTGATATGAGTCTAAATGTTCGCATACAGAATACCCATCTCGTATTACTAACTGACTAAGACAAACCAGATCAATTTGAAATGTTAAACTTAAAAACCTAGCTTAATGGTATTGTAGAAGCTTACATACGTATTTGTTTGGTAAATTTAATTTGTATCATGTTCGTTGTGTATTCTGAATACGTGTCTATTTCACTATCGAGTGAAAATTGTTATTGAAATTATTTCTACTAGAGGTCCCGGAGTAGTCGAAATTCGACTATAGTTAATTGGAATTGTAAGTTTGTACACTATTATGAGTGTATTTTATACTTCTATAATCACAAATTTCGCCAAGACTAAACTCATCGACACTATAAAAATATTAACAAAGACAAACAATATTTAATCTCAATTTGACAACAGACGTCAAAAACAAAAGTTTAACAATAAATAATATGCATGCGTGTGTGCGTCAAATACATGGTATGTAGTGTGTGTAATGTTTTCTTTATTGATTTAATGTATATTTTATGCATTATTTTAAAAAAATATTGGCATTGTGCACTTCTTCTCTATATTCTCTATAAGTGTGGAAAATTTCATACTCCTCCGTCCGCGCAATTTTCGTAAAATGGGATACAAAGTTTTTGCTTCACGTATTAATATATAGATTATATAGTAAACAATCGAAATACTTTATTTAAATTATGAAGCTGAAGAGTTTGTTTGTTTGAACGCGCTAATCTCAGGAACTGCTGGTCCGATTTAAAAAATATTTCAGTGTTAAATAACCCATTTATCGAGGAAGGCTATATAACATCACGCTAAGACCAATATAAACGGAGCCTCAATAAAGAATGTTTCAAAATCGTTTTTTTTTCCCTTTTGAGAGCTTCCGCTGCGTGCGCTGCAGAAACGGTTAAAGTTTCGCTAAAATAATATATGACAAAATTGTTCCCCTTTAAAAGATCTAAAAAAAAGTCCGCGACAGCATATGTCTATATATTAAGGTTGGCTCTCTATACCGTTTTTTATGCTAACCAAATTTGTTCTAAAATAATGCATTATTTGTGAACTATTCCACGTGGACAAAGTCGCGGGCAAAAGCTAGTCGTTAATACGATTCTATCATTCACACACGCAACAGTATCAATTCGATTGATATAGTACTGTATTGAAAAGTAATACACTTCCCTCCCGTTCTCTAGCACTAACGCGAGGGTTTCTAATCGATAGGACCGTAAATTTAGATAGTACGTGGATTGACATTTTCATTTCTTTTATGTGAAGCTCTTACAGAAACTAAACTCATTTGTCGTCCTATCAAAGAAAGGCTCATCATTCTTTACCATACTTAATTCCACTTTAATCATTACACTATCGTCCAATTAGAGGTTTTGTGAAGTTATAGTTATAATAATATGTAGATTGTAAACTCGATATATTTGATAGGAGATGATCAAATATCTTTTTTTGTTTCTTTATTCTAGCACCGATTTCTTTATTCTAGTTTTCAGTAAATAATTATTAATTTAAAAATACGTTTCGGTTAATTTCCTTTTTGAATGGCCTTTTTATTCACATCTCGTGGTTGCCTGTAATTGTATTCTCGACTAGACAATAAATTCCTTTAGTGGTTTCTTGTAAAATTTTAATATAGTTGGGGAGAAAAATTTAAATACATATGACACTGACGAATCGAGAAGGAAGTTATGTTTGTATTTTCAGATTAAAAAGACAAATAAACTAGTACCAAATATGGCCCTCGTAAAGACCAAGCTTTTTATAGTAAAATAATACTACTTATGAAAGTGACCATTGCAAATGTGCAACGATATGATAATGAAAGCACATTCAATTTATGTTTAACTAGATTAACGATGGCAGACGGAAGACGTTAAAATCAACCAGACAAATAGCCACGAAGAGAGATATAACGGTAGCCATTTAACTTTTTTGATTGCAATAGTTTTGTGCGTTGACTCATACGGACGAATTATATAATATTTGTATATAAAACATGCAATTCGCACGATCAAATAAGTATTCTTCTTCTTCTTTTTCCAGTGCCTCTTCAATCCTGAAGGTTGGCCGTTAACTTCCTATATTCATTTTTATCAGCAGCCAGCCGGAACAGCTGTTCGACGGAGGCAATACCGGTTCACTTCCGGATATTCCGGAGCTATGACTTCTTTCTTCGATCAGCAAGTCTCTTTTCGTCTACTTTGCCCATCACTATCAACCCAATGTAGCAGCATGTATCTTTCGTTCCTGAGCACGTGGCCGAGATATTCTATCTTGCGCTTATTGATAGAAGGCAACATTTTCCGGGACATATGAACGCGCTGAAGCACGGTTTCGTTCCTGACCCTCTGCGTCCAACTAATGCGTAACATGTGACGGTAGCACCACATCTCGAATGCCTGTAGGCGTCTTGTAGTGTTCTCTTTCAATAAGTATTCAGTTTACGTCAATTTCAATGTTTTTAAAAATCCCATAATAGTTTCTCATTCATCATTGTTAAACTATAAATATTTTTTTAAATATTCGCTAAATGATTTCTTTTTTACATAGCTCATAATTTCCTTACTGAATACGTTTTATATGAAACAAGTAAAAAAAGTCAAACATGGGTTTGGAATTCATTTAAATACATTATAAATAATCAAATGACTCAATAGATTAACAAAATAATCGTCTGTTCAGTAAAATTTCCTCTTCAAAAAACGAGAATGACGCCCCATTACTGCGATTTATCTCGAAGGAACGAGCCGTATCCTGCTTATTATTGTTTAGTAC